TATTATAAATATATTTATTCTTCACTGTCGGATTTTTTGTCGAAGATTTGTGATGTTTAAATCTTCCATTTAGGCCCCGCCCACTCGATCGGATCGGCGATCGGCCGATACTGATTCCGGCGATCGGTCCCGAAATTGGCGATCGGAGCATCCCTAGAGCGAGCTAAAGTTTCTCTTTCGAATGCATGATACAGATCAACACCTCCGTCACACATGCTGCCGCCTGTTCGTACCATTTTCAGGCGATTTCGAATCTGTTCTAGAAAAACGATGTGTTTTTGGATATTTGTGGAGTTAGGTGGTCCGCGAGTGTTTTTTTATTGGTTAAGTGTCCTTGGTATGAACACGTTTGAGAAACACTGCTCTAGTGTGTTTGTGAGTACAAGTATTTTAAAATCAATCCTGGACTGAACTGGGAGCCAGTGCAAAGCTGCTAACACACGCACGCACACAGCAGTGCGTTCAGGTACCTGTAGTAGCGTCGGACAGCTGTGTGGTGTGTTCAGGTACCTGTAGTAGCGTCGGACAGCTGTGATTGGCAGGCAGGAGTAGCAGGGTCTGTAGATGCCGTTAGCATCGCTCTGAAGCTCTGCGGCGCAGCGATAGCATCCGGTGAACGTGACGTCATCACTCAGCGCCGCGACCACGTCCTGCAGCGACGAGCAGCTGTCCACGCGCCCAGGTGCATTCTGGGAGGGTGAGGAGACCAGGAAGTGGAAGCTGATGATCTGCACTCTGAGCTCCACCTCACCTGCAGGAGGAGGAGGAGACGCACCTTTATAACTTTACCGTAGAATTAAAGGTCTCCTATCAAGCAGAATGCACAAAGTGATGTCTTCTCTCCATCACCATGTGTCCCCTGTGTGTCCCCGTGTGTCCTTGTGTGTACCTGTGTGTCCTTGTGTGTCCCCTGTGTGTCCCCGGTGTGTCCCCGGTGTGTCCCCGTGTGTCCCCGGTGTGTCCCGGTGTGTCCCCGGTGTCCCCCCGGTGTGTCCCCGTGTGTCCCCGGTGTGTCCCCGATGTGTCCCCGTGTGTCCCCCGTGTGTCCCCGGTGTGTCCCCGATGTGTCCCCGTGTGTCCCCCGTGTGTCCCCAGTGTGTCCCCCGTGTGTCCCCGTGTGTCCCCCGTGTGTCCCGGTGTGTGTCCCGTGTGTCCCCGGTGTGTGTCCCGTGTGTGTCCGGTGTGTCCCTGTGTGTCCCCGTGTGTCCCCGGTGTGTCCCCGTGTGTCCCCCGTGTGTCCCCCGTGTGTCCCCGGTGTGTCCCCGTGTGTCCCCCGTGTGTCCCGGTGTGTGTCCCCCGTGTGTCCCCGTGTGTCCCCGGTGTGTGTCCCGTGTGTCCCCGGTGTGTCCCCCGTGTGTCCCCGGTGTGTCCCCCATGTGTCCCCGGTGTGTCCCTGGTGTGTCCCCCGTGTGTCCCCCGGTGTGTCCCCGGTGTGTCCCCTGTGTGTCCCCTGTGTGTCCCCCGTGTGTCCCCGGTGTGTCAGGAGACTCTCAAAGTGTCAGAAACAAACCCCTCTCTCTTCTCCTCCGTACCCACATCTCTAAAAACTGGGAACAACGGAGCTGATCCAGATTTGCTGCGTCATGACCACATTACTAAAATGTGGGCGGGCTTTACCCCCACGGGCCAATCAGAAACGTTGCTGTCAGAAACAATGAGACGTGTTCTGGAAGTAACATGGTCTGTGTTTCCATTAGCATGCTAACACTCAGAGCTAACCTGTACTGGAGAGAGTCTGTGTGAAGAAGCAGGAAATCAAAAGGAAGTCACCTTGTGGTAAACCTGAGAGAGAGAAAGAGTTTGAGCTCCATCCTGTTTCAGAGAGAATCCTTGATGTGGTTTGGAACATGATGTGGAGTTTCATCACGGCAGCATTTAGCTGACTTTCTGCTGGGAGAGTTCTCCTGATGAGATCTACTCTCTCTCTGAAGCTACTGACCCAGAGTCAGCTCTTTAGGAACAGCTGGAGGAGAGGGGGGGGGGGGCTACAAGGACCTGTTTGGGGTTTGGAGCAGGACACTTCAGAGACATGTCCTTAGTAACAGCTGGAAGAGAGGGGGGGGGGCTACAAAGACCTGTTTGGGGTTTGGAGCAGGACACTTCAGAGACATGTCCTTAGTAACAGCTGGAAGAGAGGGGGGGGGGCTACAAGGACCTGTTTGGGGTTTGGAGCAGGACACTTCAGAGACATGTCCTTAGTAACAGCTGGAAGAGAGGGGGGGGGGCTACAAGGACCTGTTTGGGGTTTGGAGCAGGACACTTCAGAGACATGTCCTTAGTAACAGCTGGAAGAGAGGGGGGGGGGGCTACAAGGATCTGTTTGGGGTTTGGAGCAGGACACTTCAGAGACATGTCCTTAGTAACAGCTGGAAGAGAGGGGGGGGGACTACAAGGATCCTGTTTGGGGTTTGGAGCAGGACACTTCAGAGACATGTCCTTAGTAACAGCTGGAAGAGAGGGGGGGGGGGCTACAAGGATCTGTTTGGGGTTTGGAGCAGGACACTTCAGAGACATGTCCTTAGTAACAGCTGGAAGAGAGAGGGGGGGGGGGCTACAAGGATCTGTTTGGGGTTTGGAGCAGGACACTTCAGAGACATGTCCTTAGTAACAGCTGGAAGAGAGGGGGGGGGGCTACAAGGACCTGTTTGGGGTTTGGAGCAGGACACTTCAGAGACATGTCCTTAGTAACAGCTGGAAGAGAGGGGGGGGGGGGCTACAAGGATCTGTTTGGGGTTTGGAGCAGGACACTTCAGAGACATGTACCTTAGTAACAGCTGGAAGAGAGGGGGGGGGGCTACAAGGACCTGTTTGGGGTTTGGAGCAGGACACTTCAGAGACATGTCCTTAGTAACAGCTGGAAGAGAGGGGGGGGGGGCTACAAGGACCTGTTTGGGGTTTGGAGCAGGACACTTCAGAGACATGTCCTTAGTAACAGCTGGAAGAGAGAGGGGGGGGGCTACAAGGATCTGTTTGGGGTTTGGAGCAGGACACTTCAGAGACATGTCCTTAGTAACAGCTGGAAGAGAGGGGGGGGGGCTACAAGGACCTGTTTGGGGTTTGGAGCAGGACACTTCAGAGACATGTCCTTAGTAACAGCTGGAAGAGAGAGGGGGGGGGCTACAAGGATCTGTTTGGGGTTTGGAGCAGGACACTTCAGAGACATGTCCTTAGTAACAGCTGGAAGAGAGGGGGGGGGGCTACAAGGATCTGTTTGGGGTTTGGAGCAGGACACTTCAGAGACATGTCCTTAGTAACAGCTGGAAGAGAGGGGGGGGGGCTACAAGGATCTGTTTGGGGTTTGGAGCAGGACACTTCAGAGACATGTCCTTAGTAACAGCTGGAGAGAGGGGGGGGGGCTACAAGGATCTGTTTGGGGTTTGGAGCAGGACACTTCAGAGACATGTCCTTAGTAACAGCTGGAAGAGAGGGGGGGGGCTACAAGGACCTGTTTGGGGTTTGGAGCAGGACACTTCAGAGACATGTCCTTAGTAACAGCTGGAGAGAGGGGGGGGGGCTACAAGGACCTGTTTGGGGTTTGGAGCAGGACACTTCAGAGACATGTCCTTAGTAACAGCTGGAAGAGAGGGGGGGGGGGCTACAAGGATCTGTTTGGGGTTTGGAGCAGGACACTTCAGAGACATGTCCTTAGTAACAGCTGGAAGAGAGGGGGGGGGGCTACAAGGACCTGTTTGGGGTTTGGAGCAGGACACTTCAGAGACATGTCCTTAGTAACAGCTGGAAGAGAGGGGGGGGGGCTACAAGGACCTGTTTGGGGTTTGGAGCAGGACACTTCAGAGACATGTCCTTAGTAACAGCTGGAAGAGAGGGGGGGGGGCTACAAGGATCTGTTTGGGGGTTTGGAGCAGGACACTTCAGAGACATGTCCTTAGTAACAGCTGGAAGAGAGGGGGGGGGGCTACAAGGATCTGTTTGGGGTTTGGAGCAGGACACTTCAGAGACATGTCCTTAGTAACAGCTGGAAGAGAGAGGGGGGGCTACAAGGACCTGTTTGGGGTTTGGAGCAGGACACTTCAGAGACATGTCCTTAGTAACAGCTGGGAGAGAGGGGGGGGGGCTACAAGGACCTGTTTGGGGTTTGGAGCAGGACACTTCAGAGACATGTCCTTAGTAACAGCTGGAAGAGAGGGGGGGGGGCTACAAGGACCTGTTTGGGGTTTGGAGCAGGACACTTCAGAGACATGTCCTTAGTAACAGCTGGAAGAGAGGGGGGGGGGCTACAAGGATCTGTTTGGGGTTTGGAGCAGGACACTTCAGAGACATGTCCTTAGTAACAGCTGGAAGAGAGGGGGGGGGGGCTAGAAGGACCTGTTTGGGGTTTGGAGCAGGACACTTCAGAGACATGTCCTTAGTAACAGCTGGAAGAGAGGGGGGGGGGCTACAAGGACCTGTTTGGGGTTTGGAGCAGGACACTTCAGAGACATGTCCTTAGTAACAGCTGGAAGAGAGGGGGGGGGGCTACAAGGATCTGTTTGGGGTTTGGAGCAGGACACTTCAGAGACATGTCCTTAGTAACAGCTGGAAGAGAGGGGGGGGGGGGCTAGAAGGACCTGTTTGGGGTTTGGAGCAGGACACTTCAGAGACATGTCCTTAGTAACAGCTGGAAGAGAGGGGGGGGGCTACAAGGACCTGTTTGGGGTTTGGAGCAGGACACTTCAGAGACATGTCCTTAGTAACAGCTGGAAGAGAGGGGGGGGGGCTACAAGGATCTGTTTGGGGTTTGGAGCAGGACACTTCAGAGACATGTCCTTAGTAACAGCTGGAAGAGAGGGGGGGGGGGCTAGAAGGACCTGTTTGGGGTTTGGAGCAGGACACTTCAGAGACATGTCCTTAGTAACAGCTGGAAGAGAGGGGGGGGGGCTACAAGGACCTGTTTGGGGTTTGGAGCAGGACACTTCAGAGACATGTCCTTAGTAACAGCTGGAAGAGAGGGGGGGGGCTACAAGGATCTGTTTGGGGTTTGGAGCAGGACACTTCAGAGACATGTCCTTAGTAACAGCTGGAAGAGAGGGGGGGGGGCTACAAGGATCTGTTTGGGGTTTGGAGCAGGACACTTCAGAGACATGTCCTTAGTAACAGCTGGAAGAGAGGGGGGGGGGGCTACAAGGATCTGTTTGGGGTTTGGAGCAGGACACTTCAGAGACATGTCCTTATATCTGAGAGCTCTAATATCTGCCTAAAAACAGTACAATAGGAGACCTTTAACATTTCATCCCATGCTCACCGCTGTACTTCTGGGACAGCAGGGTGTCCAGGTCCAGCTCCAGACCCCCTGCTGGGAGCTCTGGTTTCTGCAGGAAGTCCTTCAGACGGGGATCTGATTGGTTGAGAGGCCGGACGGAGCTCCAGGGGGTCGAGTGCAGCTCCAGGAGGTCAGAGGTCAAACTGTCCCTCACCAGAAGGGCCTGGAAGTCCCAGACCGCCGCTGGACGAGGGTTAATTCATAAGATAAGATCAGAAGTGCTTTATTGATCCCAAATTGGGAAATGTTTGCATTCCAGCAGCATAAAAAGACGAGGCGTTGCACATTAGAGAAATTTAAAGACTAGAAATAAACAATCCAAAATGTAAACATCTCAAATAGAAATAAAATAGCATTAACCCCACTACGTTTCTGTTTGGTGTGTCACTCTCTGTCAAAGCCTTTTTGAGTTTCTAGAAAAGCGCTATACAAGTGTATAGGTCGGTCGTTCGGCCGGTCGGTCGGTCGGTAGGTCGGTCGTTCGGCCGGTCGGTCGGTCGGTCGTTCGGCCGGTCGGTCGGTCGGTCGTTCGGTCGGTCGGTCGGTCGGTCGGTCGGTAGGTCGGTCGTTCGGCCGGTCGGTCGGTCGGTAGGTCGGTCGTTCGGCCGGTCGGTCGGTCGGTCGTTCGGCCGGTCGGTCGGTCGGTCGTTCGGTCGTTCGGCCGGTCGGTCGTTCGGCCGGTCGGTCGTTCGGCAGGTCGGTCGGTCGGTCGGGCGGTCGGTCGGTCGTTCGGCCGGTCGGTCGTTCGGTCGTTCGGTCGGTCGGTCGTTCGGTCGGTCGGTCGTTCGTTCGGTCGGTAGATAGATTTAATAATACAACACAATACTTTAAAAAGTGGAAAGAAGAGAATTAACTGTTACAAATAAAAGGAAATAAACGTAACAGGATATTTGCTGGTATAATTTTCTGTGTATTTGTACCTTTGTCTCTGAAGCGCGGCAGCCAGTCCACACTTGTTCCCCAAAGCAGCAGCAGCGCCCCCTGCTGGGCATCATGCTGCTGCACCCTCAGCACCCCCTGCTGCTGCAGAGCTGACCGGAGGCAGGACTGAGCCTCGCTGCGCCACGCTGAACACAAAACACAAACTATGGTCTCAGAACAGTCTCATAATACACACGTGCACGCAGAAGGATCCACACATGCACACAGAAGGATCCTCACATGCACACAGAAGGATCCTCACATGCACACAGAAGGATCCTCACATGCACACAGAAGGATCCACAGATGCACACAGAAGGATCCTCACATGCACACAGAAGGATCCTCACATGCACACAGAAGGATCCTCACATGCACGCAGAAGGATCCTCACATGCACACAGAAGGATCCACAGATGCACACAGAAGGATCCTCACATGCACACAGAAGGATCCTCACATGCACACAGAAGGATCCTCACATGCACGCAGAAGGATCATCACATGCACGCAGAAGGATCCTCACATGCACACAGAAGGATCCACAGATGCACACAGAAGGATCCTCACATGCACACAGAAGGATCCTCACGTGCACACAGAAGGATCCTCCCGTGCACTAGTGCTGTAGCGACGCGTCGACTTCAAAATATCGTCGACGACATATTTCCGCGTCGACGCGTCGCTACACACACGTGGGTCACCCAAAGCAACAAGCAGTTCGCAATCGCACTTCAAACACAATGGAGACTGAAACGGCTACCACCTCCTCCTCACAGGATTGCGCACGAAGCCCCCAAACGAAAACATCTCGCCCTAGGTCTTCAAAAGCATGGGAATATTTTAAAGTTAGTCCAAAACGCAAAGATATTTATATATTTATATCTCACTGAGACTGCTGCATAGCCTAGCAGAAGCAGCAGCTAGCTGTGGTGGCTACCATTAGCAGCTAGCATTTGCTCTCCGATTTTTTACATAAAATGGAATTATGGATTATAAATTCAATAATTTTTGTATACATAGACGTTAAAAACCTATGGATTAACCGATTCAGCCGCGTTTTTTCTCATTTTAATGCCATTGAACATGTCTTTTGATCAGATTGACAGCTACGGTGGTGAGACGATCTCCCTAGAAGCTCTGTGAAGGTACGTGTTGTGGTGACTGTATTTGCTTCCCCTGTCGCGAGTCCGGATCACTCAGTGATGATACTATGTACCTACATAATCGGTGGAGTCTCAGCTTTAATCGGATATCTTGTATGTGCAGCTACGATAAGTAATAAGGGTATCTTTATCTTGAGTTCTGTGCTAAAGTCAGTTTGCATTTCTTCGCTCAGGGGTTATTTAGATGCTTCTTATGAGACTTGTGTTTTGTTTTGGTAAAAATGGTTTGTATCGTCAGTTAGCTGAGATTATTTCCGTTAATCTGGTATAACACATTAATAGGTTCTTAAATATTAAGATCCCCTGAGACACAGTGTCGTGAAAACAATTTTTTTTTACATTACGTTTTTTTTACATTACGTTTTTTATGAATTGAACAACAGAAAAATAATCGTTAGATTAGTCGTTTTCAAAATAATCGTTTCCCCCCAGCACTAACGTGCACGCAGAAGGATCCTCACGTGCACGCAGAAGGATCCTCACGTGCACGCAGAAGGATCCACACGTGCACGCAGAAGGATCCTCACGTGCACGCAGAAGGATCCACACGTGCACGCAGAAGGATCCTCACGTGCACGCAGAAGGATCCTCACGTGCACGCAGAAGGATCCACACGTGCACGCAGAATGATCCTCACGTGCACGCAGAAGGATCCTCACGTGCACGCAGAAGGATCCTCACGTGCACGCTGAAGGATCCTCACGTGCACACAGAAGGATCCACACGTGCACACAGAAGGATCCTCACGTGCACACAGAAGGATCCACACGTGCACGCAGAAGGATCCTCACGTGTACGCAGAAGGATCCTCACGTGCACGCAGAAGGATCCACACGTGCACACAGAAGGATCCACACAAGGTTTTTTGAGACTCCTCTGACGGTCATCCGATTCGTACTTGTAATATTTTCTATCTATAGCCAATCAGATGTCTCCTCCATTCTAAGCCAATCACATGAGCGCACCCGAAGAGGGTATGATTAACGGCCCGTCCACACAGCGGCGTGCGTTGACGCTTGCCGGCGGGCGTGTCTGAAACTCGACCAACAACCAATCACATGAATCTCCCGCCCCTGACACACAAGCAGCGGTTTGATTGGCTAGAGCTTGTACTGGCATATGATTCGATTGGCTGACGCTTCTGCCGAGGCTTCAAAAGTTGCACATTGCTCAACTTTTGCAGCGAGCCACGCCAGCAACGCTCCACGTCGCTTCCCACAATGCAGTTCGGCAAAAGTGACGTCACTCCATTCAAAGTGACTGGTGAAGCTTCAACGCACGCCGCTGTGTGGACGGGCCGTAATGCGTTCATGACGTAGCGCTTCATGTACGCATCGTGCGCTGTCCGGAGCTCACAGGTCCATGGAGCCTGCAGGCGCTAATCTCAGGACCGAAGGACCGTGGTATCGTCGTCTTTATGTTTACGTCATTATTATTCAAAGATAAATAAGGAAGTGTTTGTTGTATGAGATGGCAGAGAGGTGGACGGTGTGAAGGGCCAATGTGGACCAAATGAATCAATAGCGGGTGTAACTAAAACACAAGATGTCCCAGCTAGCGGGGAACGTTCTCACAACGTTGGCTAACGTTACCGACAGGTTCTAACAAGGTTTAAAGAAACGTTTTCATCTGATGTTCAAAGAACCTTTTGAGGATGTTTATAATGTTCCTATGAGGTTTAAGGTAAACGAAGACGTGTTTTGGACGTCGTTGGAAACACATTAAAGATGTTCTTTATAAACGTTCCCTCAATGTTCCCTGATAACAAAAGAAGAACATTCTGAACATGTTTTCAGGACGTTCTCTTTTTTATTAAACGTTCCTGTGAGGGAAAATATTAACACGGTCAACGTCAGATTTATTTCTAGAGCGCTTTAAAAAACAAACTTCTGGCATTTGTTTGAAGGTTTTAAAAAATCTGATGTCCCACATTTTCCTTTTGAACAAAACAAACGTAATTCACGATGAGCTGTGAGCAGATGTTGCATGTTGGCGGGTCTGAGTTCAGCTAGACGTGTTTGTTACCATTCGTTGTTCTAGGAATGTTTTCAGCGGGACGTTTTATTTTGGTTCCCAGAACGTTGTTCTGAAAGGTAGGATCACGTTCTCTCAAAACATTCTTAACATTTTTGGTGATAACTTTGTTAGGATGTGTGATCGCATTGAGACGATGAGTAGGACGTATACAAACGAATGTTTGCACGCCAATATTCACTCACATGCTCTTATAATCACACGCAGTATGCAGGCCCACAGTGTTCATAATATCATGTGTCAAATATCAGAAAATAATCACACTTTTTTCTGACTAAAGGCTGTGTCTCGTTTGTAGGTTCTAACTGTTGGATGAGCTTTCTGTTTGTGAGGGCTGCGTGTCAACAGGGTCCGCTGTTCATGCATATCGGATACAAATCGTTATTGCACCCTTTAGATTTGAGACCGACAGACATATAGAGGAACGGACCGACTGTCTCTCCCCCCCCCCCCCGGGAGCAATCTCCAATCAGCCACACCTGCAGCCTGCTCATCAGCTACACTATGAAGACCTGCAGCCTGCTCATCAGCTACACTATGAAGACCTGCAGCCTGCTCATCAACTACACTATGAAGACCTGCAGCCTGCTCATCAGCTACACTATGAAGACCTGCAGCCTGCTCATCAACTACACTATGAAGACCTGCAGCCTGCTCATCAGCTACACTATGAAGACCTGCAGCCTGCTCATCAGCTACACTATGAAGACCTGCAGCCTGCTCATCAGCTACACTATGAAGACCTGCTGCCTGCTCATCAGCTACACTATGAAGACCTGCAGCCTGCTCATCAACTACACTATGAAGACCTGCAGCCTGCTCATCAACTACACTATGAAGACCTGCTGCCTGCTCATCAACTACACTATGAAGACCTGCAGCCTGCTCATCAGCTACACTATGAAGACCTGCAGCCTGCTCATCAGCTACACTATGAAGACCTGCAGCCTGCTCATCAACTACACTATGAAGACCTGCAGCCTGCTCATCAACTACACTATGAAGACCTGCAGCCTGCTCATCAGCTACACTATGAAGACCTGCAGCCTGCTCATCAGCTACACTATGAAGACCTGCAGCCTGCTCATCAGCTACACTATGTAGACCTGCAGCCTGCTCATCAGCTACACTATGAAGACCTGCAGCCTGCTCATCAACTACACTATGAAGACCTGCAGCCTGCTCATCAACTACACTATGAAGACCTGCAGCCTGCTCATCAACTACACTATGAAGACCTGCAGCCTGCTCATCAGCTACACTATGAAGACCTGCCTGCCTGCTCATCAACTACACTATGAAGACCTGCAGCCTGCTCATCAGCTACACTATGAAGACCTGCAGCCTGCTCATCAGCTACACTATGAAGACCTGCAGCCTGCTCATCAACTACACTATGAAGACCTGCAGCCTGCTCATCAACTACACTATGAAGACCTGCTGCCTGCTCATCAGCTACACTATGAAGACCTGCTGCCTGCTCATCAACTACACTATGAAGACCTGCAGCCTGCTCATCAGCTACACTATGAAGACCTGCAGCCTGCTCATCAGCTACACTATGAAGACCTGCAGCCTGCTCATCAACTACACTATGAAGACCTGCAGCCTGCTCATCAGCTACACTATGAAGACCTGCAGCCTGCTCATCAGCTACACTATGAAGACCTGCAGCCTGCTCATCAGCTACACTATGAAGACCTGTAGCCTGCTCATCAACTACACTATGAAGACCTGCAGCCTGCTCATCAGCTACACTATGAAGACCTGCAGCCTGCTCATCAACTACACTATGAAGACCTGCAGCCTGCTCATCAGCTACACTATGAAGACCTGCAGCCTGCTCATCAGCTACACTATGAAGACCTGCAGCCTGCTCATCAACTACACTATGAAGACCTGCAGCCTGCTCATCAGCTACACTATGAAGACCTGCAGCCTGCTCA